CCCCCCCACCCCGAGGGCGCCCCAGCCGCATGCACAGCACAGGGAAGCAGCCTGCCAGATCTCAGCCCCCTGGGCCGGAGCCCCAGCTGGGAAGAGCGGGAGCCCTAAGCTGCTAAGCTTGCGGCAAGGGATGGAGCAGCCAGATCAAATGACCGCCCCCTGCTCCGCGAAAGGGGCCTCCTGGGTCCACGTGCGGGACGGCCAAGGAGCCCCGGGTGGATGGCCTCTCGTCCGGGGCCTTGGTCACCATGGCCGCGCCGACTCCAGCTGCAGCCTCTGGGACTCAGGCCCCAGCGGACGTGGGCTCCAGGAGCAACCACCTGGGGTTCAGTCTGTAAACGGGGGGACAACGAGCTCGCTGTGCCACCGGCGGGGCTGTCTCACCCAGAGTGCCCGCCGCAGCACAGGCATAGCACTGGCACCTGTCAACAGAGCCAGACGGCCCTGGTCTGCAGTGATGCTATTGCGGATTGTGGTGGCCCGGGTGGCAGCCGTCCCCGCCCCTGGCCCTCAGCACCGCCGGCCGGGGCTCACATCCTCTTCGGGGCCGGCCCAGCCCCACCAGACTGCTTTTCTAGCCTATGACTGATCGGACAGTCGGCTCATGGCTCACGGCTGACGGGCCCGTTCTGGGACTCTGGCATCTGGCGGAGAGGGAGCTGCTCGGCCAGAGCGGCCAGCTCCCGCCGCCGGTAGCGGCGCCCAGCATCCTCCAGCTCCCTGGCCATGCGGCCATGTCCCAGGAGAGATAGGGCACCTTCTGTCCCGGCCAGAGTGCCTCCGGCCAGCGCCCGCCTCTCGCTTGGCCTCAGTCTCCCCTGGACAGCCCGTCTGCGCCAGGTGTCTCCCATCTCGGGCGCCTGCACTACAGCTCCCCAGACCTCAGGGTCCTCGGCTGTGCAGCCCCCGTGGCTGTGGACACGCGGCGCCCTCAGGGTGCCCTCCTTCGGCATGATGCCAACCGTGGGGCTGGTGACGTCATCCCTGCTGCCCACACGGGGGGGGGACCACAGGGTTCCAGCGGTGCGGGTGCCGAGGCAGCGCCGCTGGGGCCCACGTGTTGCCTGGGGAGACCTGCTGCCAGCCGCGCCAGGGGTGACAGCAGCCTCGACCCCCACCTCCAGGTGCATAGGGTCTCCACACTGTGGTGGGTGCGCGTGGAGGGGGGCAGGCAGCTGGCACCCCCACTCGGGCACTCAGGGCCCTGCCGGGGAATAGGAGGATGAAAGCTGCTCCCCAGAGGGGACCCCAGCGTGCCGCGGCCCCAGTCGCCTGCTCGGGGCCGTCCCTCCCTGCAAGGTGCGACTTGGAAGAGGGCTGACTCGGGACAGACATGGACAGCAGTGACCGCCGTGCCTTGAGGGGGCCCCACTGGGGTCGGCGCCGAGCTCCCTGCTCAGTCCTTCAGTCCTGGGGGAGGCGACCCCCAGCCTCCAGTGGGTGTGCGGGGCTTTGCTCCCCACTGTAATGGGGGTCCCCAGGAAAAGGGGAAGTTCCAGGTTTCCTGCCCTACCCAGAAGGAGGGTGGAGCTGAGCCGAGAAGAGAAGGAGTCTGGAGAAGGAAGCAGGATGGAGCCCCAGGGGCCTGAGGAAGCCACGTGGAGCAGGCAGCGGGGATGAAGAGGCCACGCTTGCTCCCTGGCCCGGGCTGGGGGACATAGAGGTGGGGAGACCCGGGGAGGTGACTGTGGCAGCTTTGACCTTCGTGTCGATGTCGCTCTTTCCCTCCCAGGCGTGTCTGGCCATGTCTGACCCTTTTGTGGCCCCCCAGAAGGGGCCCTAGTCTGTGGCGGCTCTCAGGCCTTGCTCTGGGCCAGGCCCTTTGGGTGGGCTTTTGCCCACCAGGGGTGGCGACTGCAGGTGTTCGGCACAGAGACTGTTCTCCGCCTTGGGCCGCGCCCCCTGTGTTAAAGCTCCTTCCCGCGCGGCCCCTATTCGTGTCTTGGTGCGGCGGGTGCAGACCCTATTTAGAGCAGGCAGGTGTCGGGGCCCAGGGGTG